ATGGCACCATGAGACCAGCTATGTTGTTATTTTTATAGTGCCGTGCTCCCCGTGTGTAATTCATAAATAATCTGGCAGGGTGCAGAATTCGGCACGACACCGGTTCGAACATATATGGCTGAACACTAACTACTAGCAGTTTCTGACATTTTCAGTGCATGAGAGAAGAGTTTGTTATTGCTGGCATGATGCCGGTGCGCGAGCTCTAGAAACTCCACCCTCTTCTGAAAGGGGAGGCGGGAGCACCAGCTCATTTGCATTTAAAGGGACAAACACAAAAACGGCGCGTTTTGGCTCATACTCTAAAAGTGGCATTTTCAACAAGCTATAAAAAATTATCTGTGGGGTATTTTGAGCTAAAACTTCACATACACACTCTGGGGACATCAGAGACTTATTTTACATCTTGTAAAAAGGGGCATAATAGGTCACCTTTAAAGCGCTTGAACAACGCCACTGCTCCGCCAATTACAATGTTCAGCAAAACGTCTGAGTAATCAAAAACCAGTAGAAGATTGTGTGGTGTGTTCAGCAGTTCATCCCTGGTAAAACTGATTGTGTTTGCGAAACAAAAAACAGGAAAAACTAACAAAAACAGTACAACAACTGGAGAGCTCCTCACCAAGGCAAATCTTGGTGAATAATGTATATTGTAATGTAATATGAAATATTTACAATTTGTGTGTTGATTGCAAAGCATGTATTTTCACAGAATGACAGTGGAGAATATTTTGCCATTGATTCACTCTCTGTCTCTGTCTTTGTCTCAGACTCTCAGATGGATCAGACTGTGGAGCTTTTGAAACCGTCGGTGTTTGACCACATTCCCACAGGTAACGCAACTCGTGTCTGCCGTTTCATGACATTTCTCCAGTAGGGATGCTGCGGTTTCCTCCTAACGGACTGAATGTAGAGCAGTGCTCGTTAGTCACAGACAGAAGAGAAAAAACATGCTGAATACAAATAAAAAAAATAAACAATACTAAATATAGTGGATGGTTAGAATAGCCAAATAAACTGGCTTCAGATTTTGAATGGAGAAACACAGGCTATATCACTAGTTGTTGATGTCAAAGGTCGTGCGAGTCCAATCAAACCGTACCATATTTTGGTACAAATTGATCTGTCATTTGGTAGAATCTAGTCAATTTAGACAGATTTTAAAGACAGTTTTGTTACTTTTGTACACTAGACTAAACCATTGAAGCAAAACCAGTTGAGAACCGCTGTTAGTTCTGTTATCTGTTAGTTCATCATGTTGGTCATGTGCTGTTCAACAGTCAAACATCAGCATCATCTGCCGTCTGCAGAGTGAATCATCTCCAGTGTTCATCCACCAACTGCCAAGGTGTGATTGTGAAGATATTTATTCAATGTATTTTCATATAGTAGAGCCTCGCGCTGGAGACAGACGTGTGTTAGCGCTTCAGAACAGCAGCGTGAAAATTACCGTAACACTTCTTGTGTCTGTTCAATCTTTACGTTGATTCCCGTGTTGAACAAAACATAGTTGTTTTGAAGATGCTCCTCGGTTAGTGTTAGCGTGTGAGTGTGTGTGTGAGTGAGTGAGTGAGTGTGTGTGTGTGAGTGTGAGTGAGTGTGTGTGTGTGTGAGTGAGAG